CAGATGAGCTGAAGGCCACTGTCAAAGAAACCTGGGCTTCCATACCACCTCAGCAGTGCCACAAACTGATCACCTCCATGCCACGCCGAATTGAGGCAGTAATTAAAGCAAAAGGAGCCCCTACCAAGTATTGAGCACATGTACAGTAAATGAACATACTTTCCAGAAGGCCAACAATTCACTAAAAATGTTTTTTTTATTGGTCTTATGAAGTATTCTAATTTGTTGAGATAGTGAATTGGTGGGTTTTTGTTAAATGTGAGCCAAAATCATCACAATTAAAAGAACCAAAGACTTAAACTACTTCAGTCTGTGTGCACTGAATTTATTTAATACACGAGTTTCACAATTTGAGTTGAATTACTGAAATAAATGAACTTTTCCGCGAACATTCTAATTTATTGAGATGCACCTGTATATGGCACATAAAAAACAAAATGCAAAATACATTATAATAAGGCAGCATTTAAATTGTCTTTTTTTTTTGCTAGATGGGAAAAAAACATTCCATAATTTAATACCACTAACTCTTATCAAGTATTGACCTCTACAAGTGAGAACCTTAGGAAGATGAAAACTTGAAAATTGATTAATTAAATAACAGTGAATCTGTGAATTTACTTTAAAATACATTCTAAACTGCTCTGGAATGTTACCCTCACCTGAATATATATTATACATAAATACACATATTTGAAAATTATTAATATCATAGATAGTAAGAACCTGAAGTTTAATATAATAAAGAAGCAGATGAAGTATATATGTTTGATCGGGATGCAATCCTAACAAAACGCTTCTGAAGAATAAAGATTTTTTTCAGAGTAGTAGGAAAAGCACTTGCCCAAACTATGTTACAATATGAAAGACAAGGATCAATTAAACTATAGTAAAGTGTAAGAAGACACTCTGTAGTAACAAGATGCCTAACCCTCCTTATTATGTAGATTTATGTATTTTTCTGCTCACGTAATCGACTTGTTCCCTCCAACTCAGTCTCATCAAGAAAAACTCCCAATAATTTAGTTGTTGACACTTGAGGCACCTCAGTAAACTCAATAGTAATTTTTGATAAATCCTTAGGGTATAATTTTTAACAATAAAAATAATAAAAGTTTATTTTATTGTTTTTATTTAAAGCTAACTTGTTTAAATTACACCAATTAGCATAAACATTTAGACCATCATTTGCATTCTTAATCAATTAATTAAAATTTGAGCGAGAGATAACTAAGGTTGTGTCATCAGCAAACATTACTGGAGAAAACATATTTGAAATATTTGACAATCATTTATATAAATAAGAAATAGCAGTGGTCCAAGTATGGACCCCTGAGGAACCCCACAGTGTAGACTTGCTTTGCTGGAGTGGCAACCCTTAAACAAACAAACTGTCTTCAATTAAAAATGCAATTCTTCAACCATTTATATGTAAAATCATGGAAATCATATTTGTACAACTTTCCCAATAAAATGTAATGAATAACTGTACCAAAAGCTTTTGACAGGTCTAAAAAAATACTACAAGTAAATCCTTGATTTGCAAGTGCAAGGATAACCTTGTCAATCAGGTGAAGCAAAGCCATTTAAGTAGAATGTTGTTTTTTTCTTCTTCTTCTTTTCGGAATCCATATTGATGTTTGTAAAGAATAGAATTTGAGCCTAAGTGAAAAAGAAACTGATTATTATAGGTCTATAATTGTTTAAAAAATGCGGATCAGCTGCTTTAAACCTAGGAATAATTTTAGCTATTTTTACATCCTCTGGTACAATGCCTGTTTTCAAAGAAATATAAAAACGTGAACCAGTGGATGCAATACTGAACATTTCACCTGCTTGACAAAGAAACACAGAAATATCATCATGGCCATCTGAAGATCATTTTAATTCATCAATAATTTAACTTAAAAGTAGAAATAACAGGAAAGTTTCCTGATATATAATCCAGGGGTGCACTGTTACCAGTCGGGATATTATTAGCTAATTTCTGTTTGAAGAATCAACTATGCTTTCTACACAAGTTTGAAACTTCTTTCTTGTTGTTCGAGCAAGGTTCTGTAGAAGTCTCTTTGCTGTTCCAGCAGTTCAGACTTGCGGCGCAGTAACATATTCCTCTGCTGCTGTTTGTGTGGTTTGGGCAACACGGCCTGTTTGGCCCAAAGATCTCCTGAAGCCAAAACCTCCACAAAGTACAATTAAAGTCTGCAATTTTGCAATTTAAAGTAGATTAGACTCTTCTTAACACAATCTTCAAATATTTTATTTTTTTCTTTTACTTCAGGCAGGATTCTTCTGATTATTGTTTGATTGAAAACCGTACACAAGTTCAGAAAAACACTGCAGCAGCATCTCAGCCGGCGGGGTTTGATCTGTGCTTAATACATGTAAACATGAAGCAGATGATCTTATAAATCTTTGTCGAATGAATCATATAAAACATGGATTTTAATATGAAACACAGGACAGACATCGTTAGATCAGGTTTGGGTTAAACCTCATTGTGTCCTGCTCTAACTAGCGGGGGAGGGGTGCGCCATGTGACGCGCGCTGGTTTCACTTAGGTCCTGTAAGCAACTGTAAAACACGTCCGTGGAGCTCTCTTTTTTTATTCGTGTTCGTCGCCAGACTGAAGCAAGAAGTATCTTCAGCATGTCTGGAAGAGGCAAAGGCGGTAT